ACTTCACTTATTACATCAAAGTTTCAGTCAGAGCCTGACCGTTACACAAACAAAACTTTTCTGTTTACTTCCGTTCTCATATACACGACAAACAAGAGGGCAAGAAAATGAGAGAGAGAGTGGGAAGGGGCAAAAGTTTGCTCATTGGCTATCAGGAGGACAGAGTGACAACGCGGCCGACAGTTGAGGGGTTCGCAAGAGAGCTAATGCAACGGCTATTACTCCTTGTTAAATGTTGTCGCTGTATTCTGTCATGTAAGGAAGGATGAAGAGCGGGTGAAAGTGCAAAACGGACGGTGTGCAATTCTAATTGGCTGATAAAAAAAAAGGTGAGGGGGGGGGGGTGATTGATCGATTCATATGTGGGGTTTAACATCCCAAAACCACCATATGATAAGGAGAGATGCCGTAGTGGAGGGCTCCGGAAATTTTGACCACCTGGGGTTCTAAACGTTCACCCAAATTTGAGTACACGGGCCTACAACATATCCGCCTCCATCGGAAATGCAGTCACCGTGGCCGGCATTCGATCCCACAACTTGCGGGTCAGAAGCTACGTAGCGGGTAGTAGCTACTTAGCTACTAGACCACCGCGGCGGCGCAAAGGGAGGAGGTGCTTAAAATAGGTGCAGCCGCCGCCAACGTGGCGTCGGAAAGTGGGTGTCAATGAGATATGTTGCCGTGCTGTATTGCTCTTTCGGGCAATGCGTCATCATCATCATCAGCCTGACTACGTCCACTGCAGGACAAAGGCCTCCTCATGTTCCGCCAGTTAACCCGGTCCTGTGCTTGCTGCTGCCAATTTATAGCCGCAAACTTCTTAATCTCATCTGCCCACCTAACCTTCTGTCTCCCCCTAACCTGCTTGCCTTCTCTGGGAATCCAGTTAGTTACCCTCAATGACCAGTGGTTATCCTGTCTACGCGCTATGTGCCCGGCCTATGTCCATTTCTTCTTCTTGATTTCAGCGATGCGTAATGCGTAAAGAGCTATGCATAATGCGCAATACGTAAAGAGAGGCATTTCTGCCGACTCGATTGGCGAGTGTGCTCCTTTATCTGGTAAGAGACGCCCGCTTCTAGAGCGAGAAAGAACGCATTGAGTGTGCGTTAGCGACTTCTTGTCAAGGAATAATTGAGGGTAGCAGGAGAAAAAAAAAGAATAAGAAAAGAGAGGTTGTGGCAAAAAGGAAAGAGGGAAAAAGGAAGAGAGTGGGGAGGCTTCCATTTGGAATGATTGAGTATGACTCTTCCCAAGAGTCAACAATACAACACAGCGGAATGCAAAAGGCGGCACACATGGAAGGGCGAAAAACACTGCAGGTATGATCATCGAAAGCAATGGCTCGCACATGCGTCTTTGCTGGTTGTCCCGCTGGCTTCATTTAAGGTTGTTTATTTGCGCTTTAAGGCTCGTAAAACAGGAAGACCACGTGAATGCTCATTTATTCCTTGTTTAAGGATGTTGAATTTGTACATTAGGTATGATTCTCGCTGTTCCTGCTCTCTCTACGAGCGGAAATTTTTTTGGACTAGTGTTATTTTAATAGAATTAGAGCTGTGCCCTTCTGACTAAGTACGTTTTGAAAATGGGAAGGTTCGGTTGTGTATTCACATACGAGCAGCGGTTGTTGAATCTGATTCAAAAAGGCGTATCAGTCTATCCAAAGTAGATTAGCGCAGATGCCACATTCCAATCGGTAGACAACGTTTGAGAAGTCGGAGTTAGGGTCGCCATGAACGATGCGTGTAAAATTACTAGCGTACTTTCAGCTATCGTGGTTGTTTGCATGTGCTTAAGCATCTCACATCTACTTTTCTCTCAGGGATGAAAATTGACTTGTCCTATTCTGTTTGCTTTAGAGTGTGCGACGACGTAGTCCCTAACATTTTTCGTGCACCCTTATGCCACCTTCGGCGACATTGCGAAGAGCATTTTTTAGGCGGTTGCCTTGTTCTATAATATTGTAATGTCATTTAGGATTTCGTTTTGTTAACGTTCGGTGCATCACTAGTGAATGTGAGAATGTCCTCTCTCGCAAAGCACTCCAGTGTCGTTGGCGGTGTGTCACTCTGGGTCCTTCTTCCTGATAGCCACAAAGCAAACTTCCCCCCTCCCACTTTCTTCCCCTCTTGTTTATTGTGCATATAAGAATAGGAATAAGCACGAAAATTTTGTTTCGATAAAGGTCAAACTCTGACTGAAAGGTCCACGCAATAAATACAGTTTTCTTGAAGTGCCACCTCTCATACCTTTATATATACGGCAACCAGAGCAAATCCCTCTTTCAACATATATTATTATATCCATCTCTCCCAACTCCCATGGGTGAGAAGAAGTGCTACGTGTCTGCTAAAGCAGAAGTACAGTGTAAATAAACTTGCGTTAAATAACTGTTATAAGCTGAATTCTTGGATACATTAAACAATGTGACAATGTTTGGCCAACTAGTAATGGAATCAAGAAAAGAAAAAATCTGCTTAATATAAATAGCTATATTGTTAAAGGGCCATGACACCGTCACTCAACAGTTTGCGGTTTTCAGCGACAGATGGAAGTAGAGGGTGTACTGTCCAGATACATGTATGAAAAATTCACTGTAAAAGAAAATTTCAGTGCAAACTCTAAGAGCTAGAAGTCGGCGGCTATAAACTGTGCCCCCTGCTGGTGGCCGCGATTTCGCCATGACATGTGTGACATGATGTACTGCATTGCATGCAGCCATTATTTACCGACACTTCAGCCACTGAAAAATGCTCTATGTCAATGCCAAGCTGAAAAAAGCCAATTTAGCTCAATTGCACACGTAGCTGATCAAGCAACAAATTTGTTTAACGAAACACAGATGCTCGCAAAGCAAGCAGCTTGTTACGACATGGCTTGCGAGCGCATCAGTGTTGCCCGACTTTCAAGCCGCTCGCGTGGCTGTGAAAATATTCTACCCTAATTTAGGTGCTCGTCGAAATGCACTAAAATTTCACAAGCTTGCTTGGGAATGTACAAGGATTAACCAACATAGCACAGATTACTATGATAAAAAATTAAGAGTCAGGTACCTTTAAGCCAAATTTTTTTTTGTGGGGGGGACTCTGATGCTGCGCCTTGCCTGCCAGCCAGATCACAGTCAACTTGCAACTGTCCTGATAGCAAACAAGATCATGTTCAAATGTGCCAGCACCACAACGAACTCCAGATAGCTCGCACATCAAAATTTCTGGTGGTGGCATTGCACAGGCGGGGTTAGCCTGGCCTAAAAGGCCGGCAACTGTTTCCCCTAAGTATCTCTTAAATTGAAGGGGTAAGTCATCAGATGTCACTCAACCCAGTGTCTCGCAGGAAAGTCATCAGGATACATTGCACGCTCTTCCTCGTCGCCGTGTGTCCTTCAGGAAAAATGACATCTTGCAATGCCACATGCTGTGACCTTTCTGCAAGCTGTGTATTATCTTTTTTCTTTCTCTGTCAAACTGCAGGCACAGCCAAACGAAATGCTCTATGTCACCGATGTCACCACAAACAGCACAAAACGGGGAAGCGCCTCGTCAAGTCTTGAATGACCAAGCCTGAGTGTATGCGGAGTCTCGCTTGTTCTCTCGAAAGTCCGTTGATTACGCATGACTGACGCGGAAACTTGTGGATCGCCCTGAAGTGATTGTGTACAACATTCATGTTATTTCTCTCACAATGCTTTGTGTCATAATAAACAGATGTGCTCATTTGGAATGGCACGATGATTTAATGAACAGCAACTCATATCAGTTGCAGACTGGCTGAAAGCAAGCAAGTGTGCTTGACGTCACTACTTTCAATCCTGAAGAATCAAAGAAATGCTCCTTTTGTCATTACGTTTCCACTACAAAGCCACTTCATCCACGGTTGTCAAGTCAAAGGTTCGAATGCACCTGGCATGCTGTCATTTTTATTTTAGAAGCACTTGGGATGAGACATAGTTCTGATACAATGAAAAAGTTTTTCCAGTCAATAATATCTGGGGTTTTACATCCCAAAACCACGTTACGATTATGATAGATGCTGTAGTGGAGGGCTCTGGAAATTTTGACCATCTGGTATTAACATTCACTGACATCACACATCACATGGACATCTAACAATTCGCTTCTATCGTAACCTGACCGCCGTGGCCGGGACAGAAACTGTGACCTTCAAGTCAGCAGCCAATCACCATAACCCTTGCTCCACCACGATGGACATATGATAATGCGATAGCGTTAAAGAGCTTGTTTCGCAGAAATTCCAGTGTCAGCTTTGTTGGTCGGGAGCGAAAAATTATCATCTTTGCTTGACCAAAAAATCGAGAAATATGCAAATAAAATAAATCATAAAAAATTCTGGGTCTGAGTGATGGTCAACCCGAGTCGTTCGCGTGGCAAGTAGGAGTTCTACCGCACACTCTGCTTGTGAATATGATGAAAAACTTTCTCTGCTTGAAAATGCAGAGAAAGTTACTTTCAGGCTTTACAAACACATGTGACCTGATACATGCCTCACAATACAAAATATTCCCATAATGATGCGTGGTTCATTGCCACTGGGCATCAGAACATGGCGCTATCATAATAACTTTATAGTTTAAAGCCAGTAACCCACTAGAAAAGGCACACACGCTACTGCACTTGCTAGAGGTTCTTAAAGGGAAAAGGGAAGAAATAAGCACGGTGTCATTACTGTCTCTCTCTATGGAGGACACCTACACAACATCGGGCGGGGACGATGGGGGAATGGGAGTTTAAGGATAGGAAGAAAAAAGGTAAGAGAGGAACAAAACAAAAATTAAGTATTCGCTCCGCCTCTCACAGTGCGTGCCCGAACAACAGCGAGGACTCGCAACCATCCGGAAAAGTCGCCGAGAAGGCCGGGGAAAATATTCGCCGAAGAAGCTTAATGAGCCGAATGGCGCATTGAAAGGAATGTGCACGAAGCACTTGCCTGGGCGCGTAGCCTAGGCACGAAAGAAAAAAAAAATAGTTTGGAGCACTCACAGAAGCGAGTCCTGAAGGTACCAATGTGTGTGCACCACTGGCCGACAATATCCTCGGTGCGGTGGAGTCATGTACAGCAAGAGCCGCAGCCATTCGTTCGATGGTGGCAGTCTGGTGGCAGTCGGGGCACTCGTAGGAGCCTGCGGAGTGATTGCCGGACTCATTGAAGCCAGCGTACTCGTAGCAAGCCGTGTGGTGGGCGCCCAGGTCGTTTGGCTGTCACCGGTGAGAACGTCCCGGAACGAGAGGCCCTTCTCGACCGCCAGACTGCCCCGCTTGTCGGTGTTATTGACTGTGGTCCCGGCATGCTCCAGCACTTGGCAACGCGTCAGAGAACCGTCTGAAGAGGCGAGAATGACGGCAGCCTTGCGCTGAACCTGCCAGAACAGGGAGCGCAGTTACATATCTATCCTTGTATCCCAAGTTTAACAAAACCACTTCACCCTCGTTGACAAAAGCCCAGTATTCTATTGCCCTCTAAGATAGGGAACGATGAGACAACGCCAGTGATTATGTTGAAGGGACACATGACACTTCCTGAATTTAGATAGGAGGATGCATGGAACAAGTGGGCTGAAGTTTTGTTTAACACTTGTGGGGACTGTGCACTGTGGCTGGTGTGATAAAGGTTGTGACGGTAATGCCGCTTTTCAGGACAAGCTTGCCACAGCTAAAATCCACAAATAAGTTCACGATATGAATGGCTCAAGAGGCATTGATGAAGTTTTCGATAAAAATGCACTTTAGCTAAGGTGTGCACAAGCGTATCGCGTGGTGGATTTCTTCATCGATAGAGAGGTCAGACCGCTTGTGGCAGATGAAAAAGGAACTTTCGCACCTCTTCTGGAAGGGGTTGTTTTTTGAAAAAGCAAAGCAAGCAGTGAAGAAAGAACTAAAGCCGTCTGAAGCAAAACTGACTGAAGTTAGGAAGAAAGCGGTCACCACTCTGCAGGAAGTGAATCTGGGGCACCTGCGTGCCAGAGTGAAGAATGGCTCTGTTTTAAAGGTGTCTTTCACAGTGAAGACGCACAAAGAGGAAATACTGTTCCGTCTTATAGTGCCAGAACAAGGCCGCTGGCAGAGTGAAGTGCCTGGCTACCTTCAGAAACAACTTTTGTCCCTCTGTGTACTGGACCCGTTCCATGTCGAGCATTCCGAGGAGGTAACCCAGTTGTAGAAGGAAAGATGCGAGAAAGTACTGTCAGGTTTCAATATAGATAGGCAGGGCCTTTTCAATTCATTGCCACATGACAGGCTTTTATAAGTTTCAAGAATTGCATCAGAGAGGAAGACAATGAATAGGATTTCCGGCAAATGTGTGATGCATCGATGGGTGCCTTCCTTGAATCTTTTTGTGTATTTGGCATCTACAGCAACTGGTATTTTCATGAAGGGCGTACGAATATTCGAAATTTCGAATATTTTTTTGGGGTAGTGTCTCCTACTCTACAATCGAACCCCTTTATAAGAGACTCCAGCGTGCCTGCAGTAAAACAAGAGTCAATAACAAAATGCATACGAGGTATTCTGCTTATAAGAGACATCTGATATAAAAGACAAGAATTCCTGCTCCGAGGATGCCTCTTATAAAGCGCTTTAACTGTATTTCATTCGCACTGGGATTTTTGCTATTCAAGCTTACAGAAGAAAAATACAGTTGTTTGATTAATCGTGGCCTTCTTCAAATTTTTGTTATGCTTCATTTCATTACATTCTCGCTTTGCAACAGAGCTGCCTTTCAGGCTTTGCTAAAGTCGCTAATATATTGACTTCAGAAAACGCTAGTTCCAGCAAGAAGATGACAAATATGACGAAAATGGGAGCTCAGTAATGCTATTTTAGACCTGAAATTTGGGCAGGAAGTCTAAAAAGGTGGATGCCAAAGATTTTCAGCATCTGAAATTTGAGATGTTCTTACATATTGACGCTTACGACGCAGATGTGGAGCTCGGGACTCCAAGAGAGCATCAACTTTGTCTGCCACATAAGTTGGGCTTCCACAGAAGTTGAAAGAGGAGAAGAGATTGAGGAAACAGCGTCTTTGCCTTTCACGTGCAAAGTATTGCCAGCAACACCTTGGTTGATTGATATGTGGGGTTTAACGTCCCAAAACCACCATATGATTATGAGAGGCCGTAGTGGAGGGCTCCGGAAATTTTAACCACCTGAGGTTCTTTAACGTGCACCCAAATCTGAGCACAAGGGCCTACAACATTTTCGCCTCCATTTGAAATGCAGCTGCCGCAGCCGGGATTTGAACCCGCGACCTGCGGGTCAGCAGTCGAGTACCTTAGCCACTAGACCACCGCGGCGGGGCTACACCTTGGTTGCACCAAATCACATACATACGGTTCGACCTGTGCATTGCCTCATTTTTGATATGAGAACTATGAAACACCACCCTACCAGTGCTTTATCAGTCTAGCAAGAAGAAACAGTCGCTATCTCATAAGGATATGCTAAGGAATCCTATTTAACTTTCTTGCTGGAATTTCACTTTGAACTATCAGAAAGTTACTCTGGAACTATTAAAAAAATAGTAAAAAAATATTCGATTTATTTTGTACTCAGCACTTCAATATCGAATTCGCTTCACGCCTAAAATTTTGCTATTCACACAGCTATAGTTTTTTTTATTCAATGGTTTATAGTTTGCATACAGTCATGTGTAAAATCTGCTTCGAGTGATTTTTTTTTTTTAGCTCAGTTGATTGTGCCTTGAATCGTGCTCTCTGAAGAGTTGTGGTTAGAACGTTGCTGATGATTAGCTGACGTTCGTAGAGGACAATAGGTGCATGGATGCGAGTGTGTGTTTTGTAAGTGTTTAAGGATTTAGAGGGCACGCTTAAGTTTCTGTGTGAAGTGCAGAGCAAATAACGCATACATATTTTGAACCTGTCTTTAAGTTTTGTTGTGCATAATGTGTGATGCACACTCTCTGCAGTGCAAAGCCCTTTTCTGACTATCATTCGAGGATGTGTAAGGCAGTGAAAGCTGGCGTGGGGGTGTCCTGCTTGACGGTGTCACTCGGGGGAGTAGTATTCACATCTTATGGCAGAAAGCTTCACAAGACAGGTTGGGCGCCTAAGGGATTCGAGGTTCTCCGAGTAACACTTGACCTCCTTTGTAGAGAGGCTTTTTCAAAAAGTGAATAAAGAAGCGAGAACGTTGAAAAAGGGTTCATCTTGACAACAGAGCAACAAAATGAAGATGAAGATGAAAGAAACAATGGGACAGCACAAGATGAACACTAGCTAACTTGCCAAGATCACCGTTCTTCTAACGGTCAGAAGAGGGTACTGATAAAAGCAGAGTTCCTTTGGTATCTGGGTCTCCCATAGTTTGAAAAAAGTGGGAGCCAGGTATGGATGTGATGTGGTTTTTTTTTTTTTCGGGTGTTAACAAAATAGCCAGCTTTGCGCAACGGTAAACAAAAAGTTGCAAAGGGAAGGTTCGGGTGAACCACAAGTGAGACATCAAGCATCAGGAAAAGTCAGTTCAAGAGAATGGCCTATAACATACCTCATTTGTCACGTGGAAAACGCTTTGTCAAAAAGACAGAATGCTGTTTAAATAACAGATTGCGTTACCACAGGGCCTCTTTGAGTGGACCGGCATGTTCAAACCTTTCACTGCATGGAAAGAAATGCAGCTGCGCACCTGAGCTGGCGGAAGTAACTGCGCTTGCAAGATTAAAAGAAAAGACGAACGCGAGATTGAAGAGGCGTTTTTTATCAACAGATTTGGTAGAGCATGTGTAGAGAGGCCGCCAATAGCACTGCATTCTATCGAGATGGGTATGGGTTTCCTAATTGCCAACCCCTCGATCTCTCATTTTCCAGTTTAGGATTACGTGTTTCTTTTCATGAGTAAATATGCAAGTGTGTTTTTCTATAAACATGAATTGATAGTGCTGTGTACATGTGCCCCTTTGCTGCATGTGCTGCCTTTAATAATGCTACCATACCAACTTACCCAGATCTCATTAGATGACAATCTCGTTTGTTACAGCAGTGTAAACCTATGCAGGTGGCTCAGGTAACCTTCCTGTGTGCTACAAAGTCAAGTGGCTCATGCTAGGAAAAAATTATAATGATTTGACTGCCATCGAGGAGGACAAGTATTTGAGCAAATAACAATAAGTACCCATTGTACACAAAGAACACAGGCAATGATTAGATTTCGAGAGGAAGTACAAAACACAGAAAATCCAAATGTGAGGGGCGAGGCAAGCAAATGCAGCTTGAACAGGGATAGTATGTTTCTTAGATGAAAAAAAAAAAAGTTTTAGCGAGTCATGAAGCAACAACACACGACAGTGGGGAAACAGTCAAGCGGAAGCTGCAATGGCTGATGGTAAAGAAACGCTGTGAAAGAGGCAATCGTTACGCTACTCTGCAACATTATGTTTTGAACAGAAAATATAACAGGGATAAAGCAGAGTTTACTTTCATTGTTTTCTGGTGCAATCGTTTCATTATCAAACACTACAATTGAAGAACATGTCCTCAAATGTTTAATAAACTCGTCGAATGAAATTGTGGAGGCATTCTTTAAGACTACTAGCTGCTAGAAACATTAGTAGCAGTGAACTGACACAGAACGGCAGGTTTTATGTAAGAGATAGAAAAATGGCAGCATGTTTTCTAGAGCAAATGTTCTTCATAGCCTGAATTCTGCATGAGCTTACATGAAAAGAGGGGAGCTGCATATGTCTAGTATTCCAATAAAAGAAAAAATCGATTAGTACTACAAGAAGGCCACCAAAAAAATATACCTGCAGTTGAAGATGAAACTTATTGGTGACAAAAAAATTAGAAACGTAGGTGTACAATGAAGTCAGCTGACACAGATAAGGGTAATTTGAAATATTGTTCTGGAAACACTTTCGTCACAGTGTATAAGAATAATGCTGAAAATGATGATAATGTGTTACTGTATAAATATAAGATACGTGCAACCACAAAGTGGCAGCTGAAAGTTTCCCATCGTGGCGAATTTTCTAAGCTGCCACTAAGGCAGTAAAAGAGAAAATAATATCACACTCAGGCAGTCTGTATAATAGAAACTAGTAAGCTAGCGAGAAGAAATGGCATACCTCAATGAGATTTTGGGGTAGAGTGCCCTACCAGTAGAGTGCCCTACCAGTATAGTGCCCTACCAGCCACAGGAACAAAACCTCCATATGGTACAAGACTTTCGCGTTGTAGCAGCATGTGCCCTTTGAACACTGCCAAAATATTGTGCTGGCGCTGAATATATAGGCCAAGACCCATTTTGCTTCTCTTCCCTCTCTCTTTTTTTTCTTTTTCGTTTGGAAATTGGAAGAGGGGTGATCGAAATGCTGATGCCCTTCACCTCAGGACGCGTGAAAAAGGATGTCGCGCTTGTTCTCCATTGTCAATATCAAAGAGGTTCGCCTCCTCGACTGACAATGACAGACAACCTCCCCACAACCAGTCCAGAAGGTCCACCTCCTCGAGTGGTAGTGTTAGGACGGCAGGGGAAGGTTGTATAGCCTTCTCACAGAGTAGCTATTGTCAAAGCAACGCAACTATGGTCATGACAATATCTAGGGCAGGCCCATGGCAGACAGGTTTATGTGCAACCATGACGAGTGCACCCTTAAAGTGAGTTCGTTCGTACACCCTGAAGACTCGACAGAATGAGTACAGACGAAAAACTCAAATGATACAAATTAGTTTGTTTTTCACAGAGCATGGCTTGACACTCCGGCGCCGAGTTATTTGGATTTAGCTTGGTCCGTTCCTAGGTATCTTTTTATTGCTTCTTCATACTGTTGGTTAAGTATAGCTCGGGGTTGCCGAGAGTGCAAAAAGATTGTCGGTTTTAGTAACTGACGCTGATATCTGTTTTCAAGGATGTTATGTATTGTTGTTTCATTCTCACATGCGTTAGGTATTCTTTTTATCACTCTTAGACACCAACTTTACTTATCACCAAGACAAGTTAGATATCTCATCACCTGCGCCTTCTTGAAGTATAAATCATCGTGCCATCATGGTTTCCAGAATCAGTTTCGCCTGTGTATGATATAGATGTGCATTATCTTTGATATTTTGTCCTGCTGTAGGCATTCGTATATTATATCCTTTTCTTTTCACTTATAGATTTTGGGTTGCGTTTTTATCATCTTTTATCTTGCTCTTCTGTGTATAGATTAACACAGGCAAGTTCTAGCTCATAAAAAGGCTTGTTGAAGTACAAATAGACTCAGTTGAAAGTGGGCGCTGTGTGGCTCCTTGGTCTTCGTCTAAATTGCGCTGAAGCCTATCCAAGAATGTGATAACACATCCACACACTTCCAATTCTGCCTACATATCACATCTCTAATTTTGACAAAATGTGAACAGAATGCCTCGTTCGGATCACCCGTGATGCAACAGAAACAATGTGGTCCTCGTAAATTAGAGATAAGAGCAGAGATTAGGAAATCGTTTCCAAGTTTTCTAATTAGACAAAAACAAGTGTGCCTCATCAGCAGTCAGTGTAATCTTCACGATACATTACACTGAGCATCCACCCCCATTATTAGCTGACATGATCACAATTACTGAGGTAAATTTCACTTTGGTCTTAGAAACAACATGCTCCTACATCATTGGTGTAATATATAAACAAGGTGCTTCACACAGTAAACTAAGAGAACGCGAAGGTCAAAATGCACACAGTGTATAATGCTGGAAAATGACGAGAAATTTACTAATCAGCAATTCTTTTTCCAGGCACACATAACTAGATTACAGACTTTAAGCTTTTTAGAAAGTGCCACTCTTAGCATGGCCCCCATTTTCAACAAAATGTGCAACCATTAGGTCTTCCTCTTGGTCAAACATTGCGTTGGGATGGGACACGCAGTTGGAAATAAGACGAACAAGTGCACACTAACAACTGGTTACAATGAAACATAAAATTGGTCTTTTTAACAGCCTCACGTCACATGACAAGTCAATACCCTTTCAGGTTAACAATGTAGCAGCTTAAAGGAGCACTGACACAAAAATTGTGCCGCTTGTTTTTCTTTTGTTGCAATAGATGGCTTCGGTGACAAACTGGCTCGCGCCGAACGGCCTACCCTAGCAGACTTCCAGTGCGCCACTTCCGGTAATGCTTTTTCAACTGACCCCGATGGTGTTTTCGCTGTGTGTTTGAGTTTGCTGCTCTATTATTTCTGGCGCATTCCTTAGGATGTATTTGGTACCACTTCTAGCGGCCACATGAAGGAGCTCGATGTAGTGCACAGCAGTTGCAGGTGCGACTACTGTTGCAGGTAACATGGCTCGCGTGGCCGACGAGCGTCGCACAAAATATCCGCTGTGGTGTTCCGTTGAGCACAGCCCCCTCCTCCGTGTTACCTCTGGCAGTGGCCGCGCCTGCAGGAGAAGCTTGTAAGCGAACTTAATTGGGCCAGTTGGTTCTGCATATCGATGTGGATGCGCTTTGAAGACGTGGACAGAGAATTGACAATGCACACCTGTGTTTTTCCTTTCCGCATCTTCAAAGCGCACCCACATCGTCGACATGGAGGAGAAGAGTTGCCCGATCTATAGTGAAGTTGTTCAACTCAGCTTTTCGACTAGAACTGAAAACCTTCCTCCTATAAAACCCCGAACATATTTGAGTTTTCGTCCAAGCACACAACCTCTAGAAAAAACTGCTTAATTTCGCGCCTGTGTCACATGCCGGGCATTCTCTAGATAGAACATCGCTGTTCGGAATTTCTCGAGATCCAAAGTGTTCGTGTGATCGATAGTATATAAAATCTACTGGTTATGTGATGACATCCGCTGAGGCTTGGTCACGTGGACTATGTATTATGGTTTACTCACGAGTAAGCTATTCATGAATCAAACTTTTAAGTTGAACCCACATAAGCCATGTTCACACCAAAAGCTAAATGAGCTAAAATGCAGCGATATTAACTAGTGGCAGAAAAACAGGTGATGAGTCATTTCTCGCACATATGAGTGTCCACTCACTGGTGTCGCTTTTGAAAAAAATCAAATGCAGCGACAACGAAACGTGGACACCACGACGTACACAGCGCGGCAATTCATGTAGAGCATGGCTACTTTGTGCCCCATGTTGTTTCAAACAGTACGCATGGTTATTATCATTCCAACTATACGAGAAACACTTTTGCGATACATTTTCAGTGTTCGCTTTTACGTTTTGTTACCCAGTTCAAGTGTGAGTACACGTATACGCCATGAGTGGGAGACGATATCAACTGATGTGTTCCCGGTAACCGGGATCTTCGACTAATCTAAAGTCTGAGTATCGTCTTTGTGCCATTAGTGTGCGCTTAGCTTTACATTGCCTTTATTGAAATGAGAAGAACAAGCCATGCGCTCTTAAAGAAAATCCAGTTTTCTCTCGTGATCAAAACGGAACGTTTTGACTAGCGCATGAATATTAGGTTAGGCTTGCAGACTGCATTCTGGCTTGACAAAGCTGTGCCCGAGTTACGAGCGCTTCATCGGAATAATTTTATCCACATAGAATATCAGTCAAGCAGCATGCACTTTGAAATTGGTTTTGAAAATGTTCTAGGCTATATTTATACTCGATACATCATAGGTATTGTGTATGTCTCCTAGATAAATACATTTGACTCATTATCAAGCCTTCAAAATGTAGTGTCAGTGCTCCTTCAAGGCCTTGAAAAAAAAGATAAACATGAAAGAAAACTTGTTATGTGACCAGTAAAAATTTTTAAGATGCTTTTGTTAATGTTTAAATAACATTTAGTTGTTGCATTGTTAACCCCAAAGGGTACTTGTCATGTGAGCTGAGGCTGTTAAAAAGGCCAATTTCATGTTTCAATAAACCTAGTTGTTAGTAGTTAGTCTGCACTTGTTTGTGCCACTGCCTTCCTTGTGTCCTATCTTATTGTGCAGTTTGACAGCGAAGAAACCTTACCAACTTGTCCAACTTTCTATGCTGCTATGATGCCTTCAGTTCGCTGAGATCAATGGAAAAGCTGTCTAAGCACTTACCCCACAGACTCAGTACAATGGTGGAGCCACTTTTGCTCATTTCTAAATTGACTCGCAGGAGCTAAAAATTACGTGCCATCCCCCCTGACATTTCTTAATTATATAAACTTCGCAAATGGTGTAGGTCTTGACAGAAAATTGAGAAAACAATGATTGCTAGGATTTTACATGCCAACGCTAGGATAACATTGTGAAACAGGCCACAGGGGGCTTTTTGCATTAATTTTGAGTGCCCAGAGGTCTTTATTATCTCTGGTTTTACTTTCGAAAATGACAATATGATTATGGGAGGCAACATAGTGGAGGGCTCCAGAAATTTCAATTATCCGGTGTTTTTCAACATGCACTGACATCACACAGTAGGTACACGGGCCTCTACCATTTCGCCCCTACCAAAATTCGTACGCTGCGGCCGGGATCGCACGCACTACGAAATTTCGGGTCAGCAGCCCAACACCCTAGCCATTGTTCCAACGAGGTGGACGCCAAAGGTTCTTTAACATGTCCCTAAATATGAGTAGACCTTTTTGTTTTGTTTTTTCTATTTCCTCCCCATTAAAATGCAGCTGCCTTGATAGCTTAGCAGCGCAACACTCCATGCATACCCAACAACTTCACTCTGAAAATGTCTGCTCACTAACCAAACAAGGCTTTGCTTGCACTGCTTGGCTCATCTGCGCCCTGGTCAGCAAAAGTACCTCGCCACTTCGGCATCTGAAATTAAATTATGCAGGTTGTTGAATACAATGCAAGGAGGGTAGGGTGGGAGGCAAAATGTCAGCGCAACACCTTTTGAAGCCTGCCAATGAAGATTGGGTGAGATGGTAAAGCATGACTGCAGAATGTATACCACAACTATTAAATGGGGTGGCAATAAAGTGTTGTGTACCTATCTTATGCCCCATTGAATTGTTGCACTATGCAGTTTACAATCACCGTCTGAAGCCCTTAGCCAAAGTGGAGCAGACGGGCCAACTCCTTTCTTCAAGGTCTTATTTCGCTCCAGCCTACTCTTAAACGATGTTTTTTTAGGTAACAATCCTGACCTTAACGTTCCGCTCTAAAGGTGGTGAATATTAAAATTTGAGCCATAAAAATGAATATCCAAGTTAATAAAGTGGTTATATATGTCTTAAAACTTATTTGCTAATTTAGCGTTCCAGTACACCACAGCTGTGCAGTTGTTACTCTCATGTGCACTCCACGCACAAGAGGTGTTTCAGCAAGCTACAAACAACTTGCACAAAGTGCATAGCTAATCCCAAACTTTTACTAAAATTGTCAAATCTTTGAAAGCACTGTATACATTTTGTTTTCACGAATATGGGAAAACTATCTATAAGGTTTCTTTTCAATTATCTAGGACCTATATGAAGCTATTCTTCACGTACGTGAAGTGAGGGTGTACGAGAGCCGAAAGCTTTTCAAGTACGGCCTTACCATGAAGTTTATTTGATTATCATTCCATCTTTTTATGCTGCTTTTTCCATTACTTGTTTAGGTAATTTTACTTCATCCCTTGCTCTGTGAGAGACTGATTTTCTGAAACCCTCTCTAACATGGCTGTGAGGATGCTCTGGGCACTGTTGAGTTGATGCAATTTTCTGACTGTTTTATATCGCATACTCAAAGCTGCAAATTACATTACATGAACTGCATAAACATTGCTTGAAGTGAAAGCTTAGTTTTCTTACAGATATTCTTTTTTTTTTTTTCAATATGATTTTATGAACCTTACAAATGGGACAATTTAAAACATTAATTATTTTCTAACAGTAGATTAATTTACACAGCTCAGTCCACCGAACAGATGTCCTCGTCTTTATGACTTACATTTATATATTTTTTTGTTCACCTACTGGTTTATTTGTTACGCAAAACGCCCATCCTAGTTTTTGTGTATTTCTACGGCAGCTTTTAGCCATACTTGTCTTACTCATTACCTCTATGCCAATCCCACTTTTCACATAAAAGGTACCACACCAATTTACAAGTGATAGCATTCTGATAGCTTAGACATTTCTGGTGCCCAAGGACACCCCTGTCTGTGTCTTTAATATATTTTTCTTCTTGAATCAAGGCGCTTGCTTTCACATATTCATATAAACTGCATTTAGACTAAATTAGGATGTATACAAACATTGATAGCTGCAGAGACATAGAAATGATTATCAAAACGATTGTATAGTATGGTCGAAACATTTGTCTCGCTTCTTGCAAAAAAAGCAGTCACGACACCACGTTGCGACTTCTTTCATGTTTCGTAATTAACAATCGATGGCCACATGCTTGACTTTCCTGCCTAATGTACTCTCTTAACGGACCCATTTGTATACACTGTACAGGAAGTATAGACACGAGAGACAGCACCCTTGCTGGGTTCCGGCTGTTCTTATTCTAGCTTTGTCTTCCACTGCTACTCAGTCTCTTTAGAACATGTGCAGCATGCAAAATTGCCACTAACCGAGTTACGTGAGGGAGAGCACCATGTACTCTGTAAGATCTCAACAGCTGCAAGCGCAGCTGTTTTGAAAGTGTGCAACAGGCAGCAAGCCTGTTGCACACATTTATCGAGCTTGTGGAAAGCGACACCTAGTTAAATGGCACCTAGTAAGGATCTAAAGAGCTGTTAATGCTGCGTTGCTGCTACTGCAAATGCAGGACCCTGTGTGTCAGATGCAGAGCATTTGTATGCTCAATGTTGCCACCTGTGCCGTAGGTCTGTTTTACACGCGAATGACTGAACTATGGCTGAGCTGCATTGCAACATTGAGAACCGGGACAAAAGTTTGTGGGTTCACAGCATATGGTTACCCGAGACTATGCATTGCTCCACACTATGAGTCATATCCAAGAAGCACATAACTGCCTTTTTCAGCATCGCTTGCTGTAGATTTCGTTGCCTGTCCACTTCTGTCGATTTTTCCCACTTCTGTCACAATTTTTCGTTGCCTGTTCCACTTCTGTCCACTTCTGTCACATTTTTTGTACTGAGGCAGCAACAATGTAGGTACGTACGCCGGGTGCTCAGCAATCGAACTCTTTTTGTTAGCAATGAAGTGCACGCTGCAAATGCGCATCTCATGCTCGCTCTCTGGTCTGGCAAGAAGAAATGAGTTGTTCATGTGAGTACGAAATATGAACCGCATCGTAGTTGAGGGTTGAAGTTATGGCCGTCTTGTTTTTAATTGTGTCCATACTGTCGGCTGCTGGCAGATTACATCAGTCGACCAAACGCCAGCAGTTCGTCAAGAGGGTTCCAGGTTAGGTTACGTTTCCTTCATGATCCTTGACAATGGTTGATCGGTGTTGCTAAATGTGGGAAAGCAAATATCGCTCAACGGTGGCTTAAAAGCTAAAAATATAGCAGGGGGCTATTGAGTCGCTGATTTCTGATGTGTGTATTATGCCAGCTGCCGGCATTACACATGCAGCCCCTATTCTGGCTGCACATGGATCACTGGCATGACAGGCTTACCAGAAATGGGTGGCAGATAGTCTTGGGCCGGCGACTTTTTTTTTTTTTCAGGATGATAAGCCGGCACTATAGACCTTTGCATCGGGCGAGGAGGCCCGGTCTGGCAACCAACACATTCCTTCTCTCTGACATGCGTGCGATGGCTCGGAGTGTGTGTGTTGGCGCTGGTATGTGTGGCGTTATCGAGCAAATGGCCGTGTATTAAGCCAACCAGCGGATTTTGTTTTTCTTCATTGCTATTACGGCCAATAATTGGTGCATCAGGGAACCATTACGCTGTTTTGGGGTGCATTAACAGCTACAGAATTACAGAATAAAGAAACTGCAGTCGGAAGAAATATGACTATGTGCATCCCAGACGCGGAGTTTTTTGTGGCTGTGGACTCTTCAGGTTGCATCGTTTTCCTGTTGACGAGGAGCGGCGGTTTCGATGGCTTGCAAACTTAAACGGGAAAAACTTTGTACTTTCCGCGGGTACTCGTGTATGTTCAGAGCACTTCTTCTCAAGCGAACGAACTGCAACGACTTCGCCACCGATGCTCAACCTCGGCTATGAACGGAAGGTGCGCAGCCAACAGCTACTCCAACGATGAGAATATTTGCCCCATACACCGCCCCACGTAGCATTTCTCTCTATCGCAGGTCAAAGTACCGCGGCACTGACAGTCATTCAAATATCGCGATTAAAAATGAAGATAAATAAGGGGACGCGCAGGCCCGTCAGCGTCGTTTGATAAAAGAGCTGTATGCAAGTGCACACCTGTAAAAACAAACGAGCGAGGAAGATACGGTCACTCCTTCAGAGTTGAGAAAGAATTGAGATAACAGTTCGTGCACAGTTATCACAAACCGTCAGAGCTACGAGATAAAGACGAGCCACTACATTCCAATGCACGGCTTTATGCAAGAGCGGTAGCCGATGCGACGGCGTAGCGTAAAGAAATCTTGTTAGAAAAGCGGATGACTACAGCTCAAGAAAGATAGTCACTGTGCTCTCGAAGTGCTGTTGCTCATTCTAGAAAAGAAGGCCTGAAAATACTGTGCCATCTTTCGAGCAGGACGTCTGTGCTTGCGCCAACAGAGGCGGACTCGTTTGTGGTACTGTATAATAAAACAATTGACCGTCAACAACTTGAACCTTGCCAGAACGTTTGAGGGACTCCTTTCCTAAAGGACCAGCATCACTTCAGCCGGAATGCCCAGCGTATAAACTGAAAACGAACGATAAGACCGCTGCAGCACGCTTACCATCTTCGCAAACAGCGAGCTTCCCGCATTCCACATGGGTTGCCAGACCAGAAAAGATGTGCATGCTAACAAACAACGGCGCCCACAAAAAAAAAACAAAAAAAAAACGAAAAAACGTTTTTACGCGGTTATTATTTTTACCCAGTGCGCCACACAGCAGCGATCTAGCGTTGTGTCCTTTCAGTTTCGAACGACTTTCAAGGGAACTGATAGGATTTCGCGGGTGGTTGTTTTCCGATGGTGTTTCGGTAACTGTTGTGGCATTCATGGACACAGCAGTACGGAGAAGTCCCGGACCAACGTTGGCCGGACTTTCGCGGCTTTTCCACGTCCCTTCGACAAGTTGTCATGCTGAGTCATTCCTTCCTCCACGTGCTGTGCATTTGTGCACCTGCGAGCATCCCGCCGGTTCTAACCACATCCTCCTCTATAAACGTTTATATAAACTCTATAAAGTTTATAGAGGAGGTCATGGTTCTAACTGCCAACCAAACTTTGCTGCCGTGTACAACAGATGACACTCTGCAACTACAGAAACAGCGCTGCCAATTGCCTCCTCTCACATGTGTTCACTCTAGACTCTACCCTGAGAATCTAATAAACGTAACGCTAAAAGTAATGGCAGGCTGAGGTACAGTGTACACTGTAGCAGAGACAGCCTTATTAGGATGCTGCAAAACCTGTTGCAGAATGACAGCTCGTTTCGCGGATCCAGATGCATTCCATGAATGACGGAACGACTCATAGTGATTTTGGCTCTCTGCCATGCTTACTGTGACATTATTTTGAACGTCGAAGCGTGGTCGAAGCTCAACCTGACCTGGCTCATTCGACGTGAAATCCTTAGATTTTTTTTTTCTCTTCGTATCGTGTGCCAGTTACAGGTGTCAGCGGTGCTGAGACCTCCACGCAACATCACTGTTTCTCTTTCATATAATTTTTTTGTAATTGTTTTCTGTTGCATTGATAGCGTGCTATCAAATGCTAAAGAAAATGAATCACTCACAATGCACTTAGTCAAAAGCAAACTAAACAAATAGGTACGATCGCAGACGTGTGACGTACATCAGGAGAGGCAAAAATGTGAACGTGTGTGTTGAAACCCAGCTGTCAACATGCCACAGATTGCAAACACGCGGTAGTGCATTCTTCACTACAACTAAAACCCGGAAAAACAAAAAAATGAAGAAAAAGAGCAAAATAGAAAAAGAAGATAGGAGTATACCACGGAGGAAGAAATGAGTTGTTTCCTTCCTTCATGGAAGTGAACTCCTAGTTTCAGTTTCGTTGTTACTGCCAAAAATAAATAGACGGGCTTCTTTTAGAACAACATTTTTCTATAAGTGCTAGTTTGCCTTTATGTTAAAAATAGTAAACTTATAAGTAATGACATAAGCGGCTCATGAAGATTGAAGTTTTCGTTTTACACGATGGTTAATTATTTTGCGCGCTCTGAAGTAGTATATTAATTACTGCATGCTTTTAAGCAATATTAACTATGTTTTCTGCATATCACTAAATGGACCGCACTGCTGAATAAAATTACGCTTGTGAAGGATTGTGCTGAATCTTAGCGCACGTGCTTTATTTCTAATGCAGCGATATGAAGCACCGAATTGCGAATTATGGACATATGGTGTCGAAGAAACGCCGATCAAAATGGTGAAGCATTAGGTGCCGTTCGAGACAATATATTCAAAAGTAAAAAAAAAAAATACGTAGCAGAGCGTGGTTTCGATCCACGGACCTCTGGGTTATGGGCCCAGCACGCTTCCACTGCGCCACGCTGCTGAACGGGAAACGAAATCTTATAAAAGGTTGTAGTGGTGAAGTGCTCTTAATGGTGCAATTTTTAAATCACAGGTATATTGCGTTACACAAACATCATGAAGAGCTGCGAGAAAAAGAAAAAAAAATGACACGAAACAGTGCCACTTCACATCCTGGAAGCTGCACTAATTTTGCACATCGAGCGTGGCACAGCCAATAAATCAGCCATTATTGTTGCTCAAATTTCGAGATGTGCTTAGGCAGGCTCCCAGCAGTATGCGTATACTTGCATATGTTTAGAATAAAATGCAACTGATTCCCACGTATGCAGACGGGAGTAGTCGACGTGCCCCCGTCCAATATATTTAGGTGTCTCTGGTTTATTTATTTATTTATTTGTTTATTTATTTATTTATTTATTTATTTATTTATTTATTTATTTGTTTATTTATCGCACGAATACCTCGTCAGAGTGTGCACGCTGTGAATCGCCGCAGTGAGTAGTCGGAAAACTTTTATAACGATAAGGAAAACAACAAAGACGTTCGGTAACCTTCGCCTTTAAATTTTGAATGCGATAGCGATATCCACACACACACACATACACACACACACACACACACACACACACACACACACACACACACACACACACACACACACACACACACACTACGGCGTCTCTCATAATCATATAGTGGTTTTGGGACGTTAAACCCCACATATCAATCAATCAATCAACACACACACACACACACACACACACACACACACACACACACACACACACACACACACACACACACACTACGGCGTCTCTCATAATCATATAGTGGTTTTGGGACGTTAAACCCCACATATCAATCAATCAATCAACACACACACACACACACACACACACACACACACACACACACACACACGCTCTCTCTCTCTCTTTCTCTCTCTGTGTGTTTTACCAACACCATCTAGACTAGGTAGTGTTGGTTTTACACACACACTCTCTCTGTTTTTCTGTATGAAACTGATAAATATTTAGGCAAAAGAAAGCACTAGAAGATATTATTTATGTTTGCTTGAATTCTAAAAGAGGACGAAAAATCACTTTTTCCATGGGGTGAAAGTCCTTACGTTGTTCATAATTTCATAGTGAGGGCTTCGTCGCGGTATATATGATGCCTTTAGTAGCACGCGAGGGTTTATTTGTCAGCCACCAGCTCGATCGTGCAATTGGAACGTATATATTGTAGCGAACTTTATCTCTATAGTTGGGCTAGATTATCAAATTCTTCGTGTATGAGTGGTTGCAGATATCGTGTGAGTGTGGGCAGATGTAAGCTGCAGATTACACGCGTAATACCAGCCCACGTGACGGTCGACGTGTGCCTGTCAGAAAATCGTGCCGCCTAACGGAATGGCGTTCGAAAGAACCGAGGCAGCAGTATATACTGACTCTGAACCAAAGTAGCGTGACATAATAAGGATGTGTTTATACCAGAAGGCCTGCGCTCAATATCTATAGCAGAATCCACGTTTTAGAGCTACCCATGTGGCTTCCCACGAAACACAAAATCTCCATGGGCTCGTTCACGCTGAAACATCCTGCCTCCGAAAAGGCGCCGAGATTCCGCGGTGGCGAGATCTGCCGAAAGGGCCCTGTCCGTGCCGATCGCTCTCGGACATATATTTCTGCTGCGAATGAATTTCAAAGATGGCGGCCAAGTCCGACCAGTGATTTTTCGTACTACGTCGAAGAATTCCCATACAGAAACTTGAAAATTACTTATTTCAGGGATTATAGGGGCGAAGCTCCTTAAAGCGGCAGCCGTTCGTCCCTCGTAGTAGTGCGTACCGTGTCTTACGCTTTGACCTGCAAGGTGGTGCCAGTGGGAAATTTCTCCTGTGCGTTGTTGAACAATGAAAAATTCGTAGCGTGCGCGTTAACTGAAAGCCGAAATTTCCTGTCTCTTATTCCCCAATAGCAGCCATTGGCATGCACATTGAGCACCATCTGACAAGAAAGGGTTGCTACGCTACACTCGCTGGGCGTAACCTCCTTGGTTCTAGAAAGGTTTAGCGAGCGTTGGGCCACAGTGCCATGAATACAGTGAACTAGTACATACCATGAACTCAAGGTGGTTAAAGATGGGAAGTAGACACGAAGCGCAAGCCGTAAAAAAGTGTGCGTGTGCCACCTCTCGTTTGGTCCTTGGAATGTCGGCTAGATGGCGGTGCTTCTATATGCGGAATATATGATGAAAAGATGCGAGATGGTGGTACTTGGAACGTTGACTAGATGGACGAACGGAGACACAGACACATGCATGGACGGACGCATAGATGGCTGCATGGACGGACGCAGGGGCAGATGCATGGACGCACGGATGGATGCGCGGACGCACGAACACACGCACGCACGGACGCATGGATGGATGGAAGCAAGAACGAATGGACGGACGGATGCTTCGCTCCACTCTCCATCACTCACCCCGTGGATATGCTGTCATTTTTTTTATTTGATGCCCACTCGAATAAAATTCGTTTTCCTTATTCGTTTTCCAATCCTTATGCTGCCAAAATGGCAGCATAAGGATTGTTTTTTTTTGTAACAGTAACAGACAAGTCAGCATCAAACCGCAAGTAGGTAATACCGACTATGCCAAGCAGTTGTATACGCCAAAATATGCCAACAGTGCGTTTATATGAGCTAGAAATACCCCGTGGATATGCTGCCACGGCGAAGCTCCTTATGGCGTGGCTTGCGCGTCCCTCGTTGTAGTGGGTAACCACCATGGTGGCACACACCCGAAAGAGCGGTTCTTACAATGCCCGATGGGTGGCGGTACTTGTATATGATGAATACATTATGAAAAAGATGTGATATGGTGGTACTCGAAGTGTTCACTAGATAGACAGACGGACGGACGGAGAGACATACAGATGGACGGACGGACTGATGGACATAGACAGGCAGACATAGGGGGCGGACGCACGGACGAATGGACGGATAAATAGACAGGGGGACGACCGCACAAATATACGTACGGACGGACGCACCGATGATCGCAGGGATGGATGGACACACAGACGGACGCACGCAAGCAAGAACAAATGGACGGAGGGAAGCATATGGATGGACTGATGAACGCTTCGCCCCACCAATCATCATCCATTCCGTGGATATGCTGTGATTTTTTTTTCTGCAAACGCTGACAAAACTTCCAGCATATTTCCCTGAACAACGGTACTAATTTCCACCCCCACCCACGCACACA